TGAGTGTGTGTGAGGGGGTGAGGGGGTGAGGCGGGCGCTAGGGCGCCGCGGGTTCCTCTGGGTGTCGGGGAGCGCGAGCCGCGGGTTTAAACGAGCGGCAGCCGGAGCTCGAGCTGATTCGGTTGAGAGCGGCTCCAGGATGAGAGGGTGAGACCTGGTCCCCAGCACACGGCCCGCACCCCCCGGCCCGCACCGCCCCCCCCACCCACCCCCCACCCCCCGCCACAGACTCCGCCACCCCGGCCCCCGGCCTCCTGCACACGGCCCCCGGCAGGTGAGAGAGTGAGACTCGACCTCTGGTCGGTGAGGAAGGGCCGGCGAGGCCGCGGCTTCCGCTGGGGAGGGACAGGTTACTGTGAACCCGCTTCATGTCGCCCCGGCCCCGGCTCTCAGGCCCCGGATACATGGCCACACAGAGAGACCGAGGGACAGCCCGGGCTGGGGGCCACACAGCCGGGAGAAACCGGGGGAGGTACCCCGGGGGTGAGGGACACAGACACGCACACATACATCCTGGGGGTAAGGGACACAGAGAGAGAGAGAGAGAGAGGCGCGCACCCCAGGGGTGAGGGACACAGAGAGAGACGCGCACTCCAGGGGTGAGGGACACAGAGTGAGAGAGAGAGAGAGACGCACCCCAGGGGTGAGGGACACAGAGAGAGAGACGCGCACCCCAGGGGTGAGGGACACACAGAGAGAGAGAGACGCGCACCCCAGGGGTGAGGGACACAGAGAGAGAGAGACACGCACCCCAGGGGTGAGGGACACAGAGAGAGAGAGACACGCACCCCAGGGGTGAGGGACACAGAGAGAGAGAGACACGCAACCCAGGGGTGAGGGACACACAGAGAGAGAGAGACGCGCACCCCAGGGGTGAGGGACACAGAGAGAGAGAGACACGCACCCCAGGGGTGAGGGACACAGAGAGAGAGAGAGACACGCACCCCAGGGGTGAGGGACACAGAGAAAGAGAGACACGCACCCCAGGGGTGAGGGACACAGAGAGAGAGAGACACGCACCCCAGGGGTGAGGGACACAGAGAGAGAGAGAGACACGCACCCCAGGGGTGAGGGACACAGAGTGAGAGAAACACGCACCCCAGGGGTGAGGGACACAGAGAGAGAGAGAGACACGCACCCCAGGGGTGAGGGACACAGAGTGAGAGAAACACGCACCCCAGGGATGAGGGACACAGAGAGAGACACGCACCCCAGGGGTGAGGGACACAGAGAGAGAGAAACACGCACCCCAGGGATGAGGGACACAGAGAGAGACGCGCACCCCAGGGGTGAGGGACACAGAGTGAGAGAGAGAGAGAGAGACGCGCACTCCAGGGGTGAGGGACACAGAGTGAGAGAGCGAGAGAGAGAGAGAGACGCACCCCAGGGGTGAGGGACAGAGTGAGAGAGAGAGAGACGCACCCCAGGGGTGAGGGACACAGAGAGAGACGCGCACCCCAGGGGTGAGGGACACAGAGTGAGAGAGAGAGAGAGAGACGCACCCCAGGGGTGAGGGACAGAGTGAGAGAGAGAGAGACGCACCCCAGGGGTGAGGGACACAGAGTGAGAGAGAGAGAAACACGCACCCCAGGGGTGAGGGACACAGAGAGAGACACGCACCCCAGGGGTGAGGGACACAGAGTGAGAGAGAGAGAGAGAGACGCTCCAGGGGTGAGGGACACAGAGTGAGAGAGAGAGAGATGCGCACCCTAGGGGTGAGGGACACAGAGAGAGACACGCACCCCAGGGGTGAGGGACAGTGAGAGAGACAACCCCCCCTCCCCCCCCTTTGATGAGGGACATACACACACTCCAGTCGTGAGGGTCAGAGCAAGAGGCACATGCCCTGGGTGAGAGAGAGACATCTCTACTATTTTATATTTCTCCATTTTGGTTCTATTTTTCTTTATTCCTTGAATTTTATTTCCTTAAAATTTAAATTGTCTCTTGCGAAGCGTTGCTAATGCTAATCGGCTGCTGTATTTGCCTATAAAACAATATTATATACTATTTATATCCAGATCTTCGTAAGAACGTAAGAATGTAAGAATTTGCAAGGTGAACGAAGACTAAGGTCCATCTAGTTCGCCTTCCAACATCCTGGCAGTTGCTTGACATGTCGTGTCCCAAACTCTATACTGTAACCTGAGATAATATTTTCTAGCAGAAATTTATCTAATTTGTTCTTGAAACAAATGTCATTTTCTGCTTCCACTGTCTCCCAAGGGAGCCTGTTCCATAAGTTTACTTCTTGGTCACTGAAATAGTGTTTTTGCAGATTTATTCTCAATTTACCCCCCTTCAATCGCAGGCCGTGTCCTCTGGTTCTACTGTTCAGTACCAGATAAAACAGCTTTTCATGGTCTACATTATCTATTCCCTTCAGAATCTTAAAGACTTCAATCATATCGCCCCTCAACCTTCTCTTCTACAGTGTGAAAATGCCCAGTTTATCTAATCGCTCCTTGTAGTCCAGTCCCTCCATCCCTCAATCATCCCATTCTTTGAGATTGTTTTTATATTCATTTTGTTCTGCTTTGTTTGTGATTCAAATGGCTTTAAAGGATTGCTGTACCATTCCTATTTCCAAGAAATATAGTTTTTCTCATCATTCTGTTTTATTTTACCCTCTTAATCCAAATTCAAGCTAATTGGCTACTCATCTCATTGTTAATGGCATGTTGAGGCCATCGATGAGCTATCAGGATTTCTACTAAAACGCATCATCACTGGGGTAAAACTACCTTGTTTTCATTTCTGAGCAGTTTTATTTTGGAAAGTGCCTAGATTTTTTATAGGATGGGAAGTGTTATATAAAAACATAAATGCAAATCATTTTTTATAATTTCCCCCATCGCAAGTTCACTTGTATCCATGACGTACCTTCTACTTTTAAAAGCTACATATGAAAAGTCGAAGGTGCAAAGGCATTTGCCAACATTGAATGAGGAGTCCAGGATGACGTTCCTATACAGTGGTGGGGGGGTTGCCACCCTTTGGATAAAATTTTAAACCGAGGTCCCGTTTGCCTGTTCAGTAGATGTTAAAAGATTATATGGCATAATTGACAACAATCCCCCAGAAAAAAATGGTATTCACCTCTTGGTTGTTTGTGGAATATTAGTGTATGCAAATTGTCTGTTGCTTTTGCCTGCAAATACACAATGACTACATTTCACAGTAAAATCCTGTAAAACACTTTTGGGATGCCCTTCTGATGTGAAATGGCAAGGATCAAATGCAAGGATTATAGGATTATTATTTTAAGTTTACATTTAGGATTGACCATCCCAGGAATATACTGTATACATTGAATTTGTGTTATAACATTTTTGCGGCCTTCTCTGATGGATAGAAATAAACACATCAGAAATCTTTAGTTTGAATGATTCTTCAGTAAAGTCTGAGGACGTGCATTTCATCCAAATAGAAAAATGTAGTTCAGATGCTCATGGAATAGTTGTTAGAAGATGAGTGCCAGATCCTCTGATATCCTAATGGCCACATATATATAATAATAATAATCCTTGCATTTGGTATAGCGCTTTTCACGTCGGGAGGACGTCCCAAAACGCTTCACAGAACACACTGTAAAGTGAATTGACTGTATATTTGTGGGCGAATGCGGCAGCCAATTGCGCACAGCAATGTCCCACAAACAGTCGTAGATTGAAAATGACCAATTTATTGTTGTTTTTGGAGGGATTATTATTAGGCGTGTGGAGTAAGGAAACTTGCCCAAGGTTTCGCCCTCTGCCTGGAATTGAACTCAGGTCTCTCGCTTGCAAAGCGAGTGCTCTAACCACTGAGCTGCAGGACTCCTAATTACTAATTACTTACTACTAATTGTTATCCAGCAACTCCTGCTTACAAGGTGTACATGTGTGGACTTTGGAAAATGTCAAGATTAGGCTTGCTATAGTTTTCTTTCTTTCTCCACCTCCAGCGTTGAGTATCCACTTTCAAAGCTCACACACAATTATTGGCCACTTTGGTCAGGTTCTGGTGACTCCATAGAATCATATCTCAGTAGAAAAGTCAAAAATGCTTTCAGGAAGATTAAAACAATTTGAATGAGAAAAAAACTCATGATGGAAAAATGATCAGTGTCCCCAGACAAATTGTGGCAAAAATTCTTGTCTAAAATCTCCTTCTGAATTTTTATGGAGCCTTTCCACTAAGAATTTATATTTCTTTTTCAAAACCTACTAACTTTAAAATTGTTAAATGTCAAAATATATTTCCTTGGGTGATCAAGCATTCAGGTAATCTTTTGTTTATTGTAGTTACTGAGTTGAGCACTGAGGATTGTGAAAGTAGTCTATGACGACTTTCTGATTTGGAAGTGACTAACCTCATTTGATGCCTTTCATTATGCCATTACTGATGTAAGAAGCTAGTTGCACAGATAATACCATGAACCACACCTTGTTGTGCAATACAGCAGTACAATGGCAGTATCTGCACACTTGTATCTCATAACTAAGGAGTCCCCTGAGACTGTCAGTGACTGAGAAAAGCCCATATTTAATCTTGAGGTTTAACTTTAATTTTGGTCTCTTTAAAAATTAGTTCATTGCCATGAAAATGGGGAAACTCCAACCAAACGCTAGATTTTTTTAAAATGTAGTTGGCACTATCAAGCCTACAGCTGCAAGTGAAACTTTGTCTTTTCTAGTGTGTTGGATGACAGTGGTGGGGGTGTGCAAATTAGGCATGAGGTTCGATCCCCAGCTTTTCTTTCTACGCCATATCCGTTCCCTGACTAGGACCGCTTTATTCCAACCCCATCAGATTGCCCGCTTCCGTCCGTACCCCACCACAAACCAGCTGAAATCCTTGGCCATGCCTTCGTCACTTCCCGGCTGGACTATTCCAATGCTCTTGTCTCTTGTCTCCCCAACTCCACTTTACAGAAAATCCAATTAATTCAAAATTCCGCCACCCGGATACTCACCTGCACAAAATTTCGTACCTCCATCACACCAGTCCTTGCGAGGCTCCACTGGCTCTCAATTACTGAACGGATTGATTTCAAGATCCTGTTACTCGTTTTCAAGTCGCTTCATTCCCTTGCACTTCCCTTCCTATCCGATCTGCTTACTCCCCACTCTATGACCTGCTGCCTCCGCTCGGCTGGCTCCAGCTTCTTATTTGTCCCTCGTGCCCTCCATTCCACCATTGGTGGCTGTGCCTTCAGCCACTATGCCCCGAAACTCCGAAATTCTCTCCTTCAGTCCCTCCGCCTTGCACCCTCTCTCCCCACCTTCAAATCCCGCCAAAAGACCTTCCTCTTTGATCGTGCTTACTGTCACCTCTCTCCTCCCTATCCCCTGGCTCGTTGTCAGACTCCGCCACTGTCAAGCGCTTCTGGATGCTACCCCACATGAAGGGCACGATATAAATGCATGTTGTTGTTGTTGGATGATTATAGCATTTTGTTTTAAATCAGTTTGACTGTTTATTTTGATATGTTTCCCTCATAAGCAAACTATTGTAATTTTAACATAAAATAATGAATTAATTATGCGCAAGTGCATGTACCATTTCAGTGAAGTTTCAGCTCTTAAAAATAACATTATAAAGCTTTGATATTGCAATTTTTACATGACAATGTGGCTTACAATTTAAATTTTTTCCCCCCCCTTTCTGTGGGTATCTGTCTGCTTAATAAACAGCAATTTCAGGTGATTATATAAATGAGTTTCCAGGCACTTCAAAAAGAGAAACGGGAACATTTCCTGTTTCTGTTTTTTATATTAACTGTTTCCTTGTTTTCAGTGAATATTTCCTTGTTCTACCCTTTAGGAGTTCCCCATTTTACATGAACTACTTTTATAAACTTGCAGACATGTTTTTTGTAGGGTCCATAGTTATATACTGTTGTCATTAAAAGTACTTGCACGATGTCCAATAATTAGATAATAAAAATCTTTGCATTTGATATAGTGTATTTCACATTGGTGGGACATCTCAAAGAACTTCACAGGATATACAATAAACAACAACAAGAAAATTACACTTACATGTCGGGAGGACACCCCAAGGCACTGGACAGACAGAGTTACGCACCCGAACTGAGGGTCGGGGTAGGGGAGTGGGGAGGACAGGGGGGTAAGCAGGGAGATCGAAAGCACGGTTCAAGAGGAGAGTCTTGAGGTGGGTCTTGAAGGTGAAGAGGGAGGGGACGAAACGGAGGGACTGCAGGATGGAGTTCCAGAAGATGGGTGCAGAAGGCCCGCCCACCGATAGTGGTGCGAGCAAGGCGGGGGACATGAAGCAGGCCAGAGCCCGCTGAGTCGAGGGAGCGAACAGGATGGTAGAGAGTTAGGAGGTCGGAGAGGTAATGGGGGGAGCAAGACCACGGAGGGCTTGAACTGTATCCTCTGTGTGATGGGAAGCCAATGGAGTTGGGCAAGAATGGGGCTGATAGGGCCGTGGAGCCTGGTGCGGGAGAGGACACGGGCTGCAGAGTTCTGGATGATCTGCAGCCCGTGGAGGGAGGAGTTGGGGAGGCCGACAAGCAGTGAGTTTGCATAGTCGAGCCTCGATGTAATGAAGTGTTTGAAGGTTTCGGCGGCCTGTGGTGTGAGACAGTGTCGGAGCCGGGCGACGTTGTGGAGGTGGGGGAAGGCAGAGCGGGTCATAGCGCGGATATGGGGTAGAAAGGATAGTTGAGGATCAAACAAGACCCCAAGGTTCTGGACTGGCTTAGCAAAATGGAGTGTCCAACCATGGATGGTGATGCTGTCAGCCCCTGAGGTGAGGAGGCATTGACAGGAGCCAATCAGGAGACCCTCGATCTTGCTGAAAGTGTAGTGACTGTATTTTGCAGGTGAATGCATCAGCCCAAAATCTGTGGAATCTCTAATGTCCACCTAATTGGCCACATGGAATTTCGGTTTACTGGTTTATCTGAAGAACGACACCTCTGAGAATGCAGTACTCTCCCAGTGTCATTCTAGACTATGGTACCAGTGAATTATATTTGTGAGCAGATGTGGATCTTATACCCAACATTTTACAAATATTTGAAACTCGTAGTGCTTAAGGTGCTCAAAACTCAGTTGAAGGCTCAAAGTATCTCTCAATCTTAGATTGTAAGACCCTTTTGTCTTATTTAAGAGAAAATTGTGGAAAATTCTTAAATTCAGTCTTAATTCAGACACTAAGACAAAAGAGAAGAGAGTTTCTCCTGACATTCTGATGAATAGTCATCAGAGATATTGTTCATTTTGCCAGTGTATTCACTAACATTTGCTATACATGTCCGACGTATTTCAGTATTATTGGTGCTACCTTTTTTGATTATTGATCTTATTTAGCGCCTTGTATACCTCTGTATAGTTCAGTTGTCTCCTTAGATGTTTCATTTGAGGTTAAAGGGCACTTGCTGGTTGTTCATTTACTCTGGATGAGTCTTGTTGCTTTCAACTGTACTGCCTGGTCAGGTTGGCAAGAACTTTATGTGGCATTCCCTGGTACAACCTTATCATTGTACTGTATAGCATGAGTGTAACTTCTGTGAATCTTAACAAATTTAGCAATCTAGCAGGGAATTTGATTTGCCTTCTTAATTGCTGCATCACCATTTTGGACATGGTGAGAAATAAGTTATACTACCATAGTAAATGTCTCTCCTAGACGTTTACTTCTAGGTAATGCTTTTTATTTAGCTGTTTCTAACTATTTTCTATTGATGCTCCCAATGTATGTTATGTTCAGCTTTCTTTG